AGGTCAGGAGCAGCCACGGCTGCCATTAGTGTGGCACCCCAGGGCTGGTGGCTCTTGGAGCCCAGGTCCCTTCTCGTGAGCAACTACAGCACTTTGGCTTAATCTCTTGGTTATAAAATTGAGACCCTGATTGCCTGTGGCCAGTCAAGATATTAAGGTTTTAAAGAAGGGCAACTTATTAGCCCCAGGGTTTTGATCGGTTTCCAGCTCTCAGTATTATCTTCATCCTTCCCTAAACGCCTGCTGTGGCTTCAAAAGGCTGAGACAATCGCCTCGCCTGAAAATCCTTGGGATCACGGACACCGGCCATCTGGGTACTGATCCTGCCTGGGCAAAAAGCACCCCCGTGCCCCACACAGCTCCCCTGCCCACCCGGTGTTCAATGTGAGCTGGGGGAACCTTCTCCCCAAAGCATCTCGGGCTGCTTCTGGGATCTTGCATCTCTGAAGCCGTTAGTCCCCACTAATCCCGCTTTGACAAGTGCCAGGTGGGGGAGGGCGGCTTAGAAAATCAGCCTGGCACTTAATGAGACAATTAATGCAAAATTCGCTGTCACTAAGAGGATGATGACAAGGTTTCATCTCACGGGAACATGGCACTGGGCCAAGGAGGATGCTGCCTCCTGGGATGCTGTCCAGGGGCCTCGGTGTTTGCAGCGGGTGAGGGTTCAGGGCAGATTTTGCATCCCCCTCCTGCCTTGAGAAGCCCCCCATAATTTGTTGCAGGACGAGGTAATTTGTGGGAAATGGTGTGATGTGGCTGTGCACCCCCTGAGCTGGCAGACCCCCAAGGTGTGTCCCCAAAGCCCAGATCCTCTTGGGCTTTGAGGATCCCAAGGGGACCCCAGGGTATCTAAGCATGCCTAAGTCCTCACAGGTCTGAGCTGTCAAATTTCGGGGTGCTGCCCTCCCCTTGTCAGGTCAGATGGCTCTTATCCTTCCCTGTGCACAGACACTCGTCCTCTTGTCTGCCCTGCCTTGCCTTCCTTGCCCATCTCCTCGGGCTGGCCCTGTGCCAGTGTGGGGTTGTGCTGTCTGTTGGGATTTCTCCTTGTTAGGAACCTTCTTGCATTCATCGTGCACCTCCCCATGGAGTTACTCACTTGTCTTCTTGCAGGGATAACAGCTTTTTCATGGCCACCACACCGTCCTTCATCATCTGGCCCTGGGAATGGAAAACCCCATTTAACACGTTACTTCATGGCAGCTGCAAGGAAAGAAACTATTACAAGATGCCCAAAGGAGAACCTGGGGGAAGAACATCTCCCAGCTCAGCTCAGCTGGGGTTTGCACATGTTGTGGAGCACCACATTTTGTAGCAAGACCAGGTCCTGCAAGGAAACCATCCTCATGCTGTGCACTGGAGCATGTTCCTGCAGATCCTATGGGATGGTTTACACCTTTCCCGAAGCTTGGTAGCTGGGGCTGGGCTCAACTGAGGAGATGCAAGTGCTGAGTGAAGCATGAGCATCCTACGCCTCTTCCATGTGGTGCCTGTTGAATTTATTGTAGGCCTGATGCACTTATTTGGAAGAGTTAATGCACAGAGAACACGGAAACAATTTCTTCCAGCATGGCGACACTCATGCGCTTCTGATGCACTTGCACCAGTCACAGTGAGAGGTGACACTTTCTGCCTTTCTTCTGCCTGCAGACGTTTCCCGGTGCTTCCTTTAAATGAAGGAATTTGCTTTCTCAAGGGCTGGCGGAGACAGTGGCATAAATCACGTAGAACCAAGCTCAGATACCACCAGAAGGCTGGTAGAAAGGCTGAAATGTGTGGGAGCCTCCCCCGATGAGGGGATAATGTAAAAACAACATCAAACACCAGAAAGACAAGAAATGAGAAGACCAAATCCAGTAAGGCTGTACATACAGCAGGATGTGGTCATATGCAAATGCCCTAATTCAAGCAGTTGTTCCCCTCCAGGATAGTCCAGATCCCACGTCAATATATCTTTGAGCTGACAGCTCACTCCTGCTTGTCCTGTTGTCCAGGCAAGCCATCAAGGACAGCCTCGGCCACGCCAAGTGACATCTGTCTGGGGGGATTTGCAGGCAACGTTCACCTGCTGATGGGCAGCGACCACCGAAACTTCAACCCAGGGACATTTTGCACATCGAGGTGGGGGTCTTTCTCCCCAGGTATTGCACAGGACACAACTCTTGTTGTGGGCACCCAGCGATGACTGGAGAGGCCAAGGAAAAACGTATGAAAATTTGGGGTGAAACAGCATTGCAAGGTTGCATCAGGATGCTGAGAACGTAGTCTATTTTCTTGTACTCTCCTGGCTGGGCTGGTGCACCCACACAGGGAACGGGAGGTCTCTCCTTCAGCCTGTCTGATACCATACACATGCCTATGTATGTATGTATAAACAACCTTGACTGTAATATTCATCATATAGTGTGCACGCTGTAGGTATTTGGACAGCAACACAGTATTTAGTAATACTTCATAATTACATCTGTTTAAAATGGCAATATTTGTTCTGCATGTTGGCAGCAGCATTAGGTTATTTAGGCTGAAAAGACACTAGAAACCTATTGCATTTCTCCCTATTTTTTAACTATCCCAGCCAATGAAGACAGCCCAAAGGCAGTTTCATTTTGGTTCAGTAACCCCAGCTTTGGGGAACATGCTGCTGCAGCAGGCATCCTTCTGGGGCCTTATAGAGCACAGTGCTGGAGGGGAAGAGAAAAGCCAATCCAGCTTCTTGGTTTTCCCCCGCAAAGGGTATCCAAGAGCCAGGGAAGGACAAAACCCTTCCAAGAGGGAGAAAACATAAGCAATATTTCCAAACCTAACCCAACGTAACGCCCTGCATCCACCCCTTGTGTAACACCCTCTGGCTTTAAGTGTCTTATACAAGGCTGTACTCGCTCAGTACTGAGCTGTGCCTAAGCTGGGATTGATGGAGAATCCTATTTAGGAAAACACCCTTGATGAAGAAAGCATGAAGCAAAGAGGAATTTTTGCAGGGATGTTTCCGAGTGTGACGGGCGCAGTAATGCGGGGACCATTGCCAGAAGGGCTCCCGGGGCACTGCAGATCACTCGGTATAAAAGACGAGCCTTGATTCAGCCCCGAGCAACTGAGCTGGCTGTGGTCGAGGATTACAAGAGCTGTTTTGATCAGGGGAAAATTTCTGTTTTTAGCACAGGCAGTAATTAAAATAGCTCATGAATCTAAACGCCTTGGGGAGCTGTCATAAAAGGAGGTAGAAAATCCATCTTCTGAACTCCTCTGCAGCCAGAGATGAGCCTGGAGAAAGCAGAAGAGAAGAGAGCTTGAGGTTCACCTGGTGAAAAAGGACAACCTGAGTCATCGAGCCGGATACGCCAGTTTGATCTCAAGATGGCTGAGGAGGATCTCCGGGGCTCGAGCACCCGTTTCTCGCTCTCTTTTTCGGGCAGTGGCTTTCTCGTCCTGTATCAGGTTGGGGTGGTGCAGTCCCTCCTGGAGCTGGCTCCTGAGCTCCTCAAGTCCGCATGCAAGGTCTACGGCTCGTCTGCTGGCTCGCTCATCGCTGCCGCTGTGGTGTGCGGCGTCGGCCTTGGTAAGACAATCATTGCCTAGATTTCCTTACTATAGAGCTTTTATTTCAAAATAGAAATAGAGGAGCTAATGCCTCAAAGCACCAGTGGGGATGCAATACCGGCGTAACTGGCGTCACCCACATGGCATAAAAGAAAACAGCAGATGTTGCCACTTCTGGAAGCCGCCCTGGAGCAATTTTGGGTGGTATAGGCTGAAAAAATGGTTATTACTGCCTGTTACCTCAGACGGTCCGGTAGATACCGCATGGGTACATCCAGACGTAGCTGTCTGTTACTGGCTCCTGCTGAGGGAGCAGATCTGCTTCTCTTGTGCTACGAGGTGTTCTGAGATGTGTCACAGAGCAAGTCCACGCAGCCGTGGTGGGCGGATATGCCCATGTAAAGCTCCCTTTCCCCCTACGGATCAGGTCCCTTGGTATCCTTAGCTACGAAGGGACATGAGTGGCAGGCACATCGGTGTCTATACAGCCCTGTTTGCACGTTGCTTTGGGTTATCCCACTCAACCTTCCCAGCACGAGGGAAGATGTGGCGTGATTCCCATTTCCAAAGAGTGATAGTGGAGCATCTTTCCCCTTGGCAAAAGCTCAAGAGGTCGTCAGCGGGACACGCCCGGAGGAACTGCAGTCCCAGCTCCAGCCTAGGGCTGGGGTTTCTCCTGTTGCTGCAGAAGAGGTTTTACTCTGCACCTCTTCAAATAATGTGGAAACAGCTCCCCAGCTCAGCAATACGATCACCTATGTGTAGAATTAATTCAGAGCAGTTAATCCACTTCTAATAATCCTGCCATATTTCCAATTAGTGTCCATGTGTAAACAAGCATACACAAGACTTAAGTCTTTGAAGGCTGATCCAAGCCCTGCTTCAAGCAATGGGGACGTTTAGGAGGAGTGGGGGAGTGGTGGTGTGTTTATTAGGGTCCAAATAACGATGGAGGAAGCAGTTCCTGAAACCTCTGGTGCATGCTAGCACTACTCTGCTGGAGCTAAAAATCATTCAAAACTTTGGCAAATATATTTAGACAAAGCAGAAAGGAACCTTTCTGCCCATATGGGAATGAACTCCTCTACAAATCAGCAAGGGCCCCCAAACTTTCTTCTCTGATTCCTCACGCTGGTGTATTTGGATGGAGCTGGGGCTGTCCAGCACGTATAAACCGGTTTGGAAACAGCTCTTGCTGTGGGCACCAGTGCTGAAATGGGGGTCTGCTTCACTGGGGGTGGTAGGCACCATCCACTTAGAGGTGATGAGATGATCTTGTGCCCACAACATCTTCCTCAGGGGAAGAAAAGATCTGTTGGTTGGTAATGACTCTGGTTGGGTTTTTAACAAGGAAAACGAATCTGGCACAAACTCTGTCAAATTCACATTGGGGAGGACTGGGCCAAAAGCAGGGTTAGAGCTGTGCTTGGCTCCTGATGGGGTGTCCCATGGGGTGACTGCGGTCCTGTACCCAGCCCCTGCCCTGACCCGGGCTGGGTGAGGAGCTCTGAGCTTTCTGAGTCAGGCTGTCCTCTGCCACCCCACAGGGTCACCTCCTGGGCACATGCTTGTCACCAGCAAGCTTGTGCAGGTGGGGACAGTCACAGCATGGCATGCCAGGGTCATCCCTTGCTCGCCCTGAGTCAAAGACCTGTCCAGAGCCAAAGCCCTCAAAGCTAGGGTCAGCTCTCACCTCCTACCTGGCAGCTTGTGGGCAGTTTTTCCAGGTTTTCCCCCATTTCCAGGACACAGACCAGCCAGACAGTGCCCATTGGGTGCATCACCTGTCTGGGCTGTCTCCGGCTCTTTCAGCACCCCTGAAGACCCTGTGTGAACCCGCCGAGCGTTAATCATCACACCACATGGCCTGAACATCTGCTCAAACATTTATAACCCCTCTTAATACCTGTGTTGTCCAGTTGCCCTCAGGACACTCTATCTAATCCGTCTGTCTGTCCATGCTTTTAAAGCAACCTCACGAGACAGCCCAGAAACCTTTACCCCTGCAAAAGCCCGTGGCTTCGTGCCAGTGCAGGGTCCTGGGGAACCCACCTGGGTGCAAGGTTGGCTCTTTGCAGCACTGAGGAGCTGGATAAGCTTTTTGCTGCAAGAGTTTAACCACCCAAGGTGGGGTATTCCCCCAGACAAGCTCCCCATTCAGCAAAGGGACCAGGCTCCCTCCCTGGGATCAGGTTGACTGCGGGGTTTGCTGCACCCTTCTTCCCCCCACCATTGCACAGCCTTTAAAACACAAGTGTCTCCTGAGCCCTCGGCCAGGGCTCTGCAGCTCTGCTCCTTTAATCCAGCTCCTGGGATGTGCAGGTCCATGTAATGGCTATTAACATTGGCTAGGAGCTCACTGGGGGAGCTCAGATGGTGGAGTCCCGTCACAGTGGAGCCAGGGTGCCTGGCTTGCAGGATAGCCCTAAGCAGAGGAGGTGTGGGTCCGCCCCTTGTCCTCACCTTTGAGCCCTTTCAGCTCCCCCACGGAGCTTGGGGCTGCCCATGTGCAAAATCGGAGCTGGAAGGCAGGAACGTGTTGTGCAGGTCACATTGGCACCCATCGCTCGGTGTCTGCACCTGCGTCCCCCTTCCCAGGGCCCTTTGGAGCCTTTCCCTAATCCCTGGCCAGGCACATCTTAAGCTCCCATCTCTGGTGCAGACAGGGATTTCACCAGTGGGGTCACGCTCAGTAATACCTTGTCCTTTGAGGACACCATGGGGGTGATCTCCCCTTTTCTGCCCCACCACCACATCCCCCATTATAGCAGCGGTATCATGCTGGGGTTGTACGCAGAACTGCAAGAAGCTCTATTTGGGGGCAGTGTTAAAAATAGGACTAAAAATACAACTGTTAGGGCAGCAGGCATATTGACTTTCTCTCTGTCTTTCCCCCCCGCTCTGTGTCAGATGACCTAAAGGAATTTTTCTTTGCCATGGCAAAGGAGGTCAGGAAAACCATCCTGGGCCCTCTCTCTCCCAAGTGCAGCTTGCTGGCAAATATCAAGACAGTTTTGCAGCGGATGCTACCAGAGGACTCCTACCAACTGGCTTCAGGGCGGCTCCACATCTCACTCACGCGGGTGGTGGACGGCCAAAACGTCATGGTCTCTGAGTTCAGTTCGAAAGAGGAGCTCATTCAGGTAAAGGGACCTTCTTCTGATGCCGTAGGAAGATCCTCCACCTACTGCTTGGGGTAGTGTTGACGGTTTTAACTGCGCTGTTTTCTACCCAAGATGGGGAGAGTGTTAGGAAGCTCTGCCAGAGCTGTGGTCCCACCACAGTGAGCTCTATGAGGCTTGGAGGAAGGGAAGAAGATGTTGTTAGATCCAGAGTCAGGCAGGAATAAATCATGTTAAAAAAGCAGAAGGTTTGTTTCCAGCCTCAAAAAGCTGATGCCAACATGTTGGCCAGCTCTAATAAGTGCTAATGGCTCTTTGCAAAGAGCTGTATCAATGCTAACATGACCTCCCAGCTTTCTGGACAGGTCTCTCCTCAGCCAAGACTCATTGGCAGTAATTTTCCTCATTGCCTCAGTACTTTCCTGGGAGGAAAAAGTGGGAGAAAGCATCTGTGCTGCCAAAGAAGCAGCTGATTACATAGTAAATTAGCTGCTGGGGAAAGAATCCCAGGATAAAACCCTAACAGAGCTGACCATGAGGTCATGGGCTTGCTTGTCCCAGGGAGACAGTAGAGGATGGCAAGTCCACGGAGATGTTGGAGTTCACCCTGAGGTGCCTGCCCTAGGTCAGGCCAAGAGCCCGGGGTGCTCATTCCCAGCTGATGAGATTGGTGCAAAATGGTTACAAACGGCCCAGCAGTGGCTTTATCATTGACAAATCCCAGCAGAATTAAAAAGCCTTGTGAGGATGTCTTGGTTTTGTCCAAAAACCTGCAAACATGAAAAACAACTGCAAAGCTTCACCTTGTGACCTCCAAAGAGCAGTGTTTGGACAGCGATATATAGATATACAATTCTCACATCGCTGGCAGCTATAAAAACAAAAAATGAAGTGCTATGCCCTTCTCCAGAGAAGTGTTTCAATTTTAGAGAAATGAAACGTTCTCCCCTTCTTGAAACCTTTCTTCTTGACATGGTCAAGTGCAAAGTCCCGGTGGTACCGACAGCCTGGCTCCAGACAATTTGTCAAGCCTGAATTTGCAGGCACCCAGTCAACAGCTTTTGTCCAGAACTTTGACAGGAACATTTACTTCTGCAAAACCTCTCCTCCCCCAGGCTCTTCTCTGCAGCTGCTTTCTTCCTATCTACTGTGGATTCATCCCTCCATCCTACCGAGGCGTGGTGAGTGATATTTCCATTAAAATACATGCTCCCAGCAGGATGTTCTTGGGTTTGGACTTTACATTCCCTCGAGCAGAGAGGCTAGGCTTCTTCCTTAGTTAATGGAGGATGACAGAGCCTTTGAGCTTGTTCTTCATCCCATTCTAAGATGATAGCTGGGTGGAATTGCCATCTGGAGAGCCCTCTCCCGCTTTGCCTACGGACGGAGCCTGGATGACTAGATCTTGCCTTGCAGATCTCCAAAGTGAGGTGAGAGGATGCCCACACTCAGGGCTCTGACACACAATCCAGTTGTCCTGGGCAGGATCTGTCTGCAGTGCAGATGTCTCCACGAGCTCAAGCGCAGACCCGCATGGCTGAAGTATCCAAAGTTCACGGGAGGGTCCTCCCACAACCACATGCGTATTCAGACTCTGCGAAACACCGCATTGATGTCAGCAAATTTGGGCTAGCTTATTGCTAGCCCTCAGTGAAGGAGAAACTCTGCAGCGTGGTGGTGAAGCATGTGCAGCCAATGCACTGTGATCTCCTTGTGTGTCAGAGCCCACAAAGCCACGATACCAGCTTTGTGGTTGATATAGAGCTAGGATCTTTCCTTGACTCTTGTTGGTCTGCACTGGTTGAGCCTATTTAGTCCTCAGGTGTCTGTACCTGGCTGTCAGGCCAGATCTCCAGCTTATCCCGGACCGCAGGGCTTGCATAAAGCTTGCAGGACCCAGAGCTGGGCAGCGCTGCTGCGCAAGGCTCCTCTGCACTGTTATTTCGTGGGCATTTCATTCGATCAGCTGCACTCCTTGCAAACTCAAACCCTACTGAGGTGGGTGGTAAATTCAGATTCCTTTTGGAATACAGCAAACGACATTTTCCTTGCCCCGTGAGTAATCCTCCAGGGATTTGCAGGCAATTATTAAATGCGGGAGCCCTACGGCTTGAGCTCAGGACTCAAAATTTATATGACACTGTAAATTCAGTGATGTTTGAATTGGCTAGTGACTGCCAAAACAACTTTACTAAGCTTTGTGAATTAAAATAATGATACGTCATTTCAACCACTGCTGTGGATTACAGCACCTGGTCGAGGAGCCGCTGGGTGCCCTAGGCAGGGCAGCAGAAGGAGCTGGCAAAGGCCAGGATAAAGAGCAAGAGGTGGGAAGAGATGCTGTTGCAAGTGGGAAGAGAGGACATGCCTTTGCAGCTGCTTGCTTTCCTGCTGCCCTCACGCACGTGCTGTAGCAATCCCCAAAGCAAACCCTTCCTCTGCTCTTCCCCCTCAGCGATACGTCGATGGAGGATTCACCGGCCTGCAGCCTGTTTCCAGCTTGGAGGAAGCCGTGATCACTGTGTCCCCATTCACCGGGGAGCTCGATATCTGTCCGCGGGATTGTCCCGCTATCTTCTTCTGTTTCCAGATCTTCAACGGCAGCATTCAGATCTCCATAGAAAACCTCTGCAGGATCAGCTATGCTCTCTTTCCACCTAGCACCATGGTAAGGCCACCAGGTCATCTTCCCAGATTTGCTTTGGTTAAAACAAATCAATGCTGGACCTGCCTTCCCAAGATTTAAGGTTCAGCTCAATCTCTACCATTAATTAATCTAATTTCAAGGGGAGGAGGCAGTACCTACTGCTTTTGCAGTGTTTTTTTTGGTGGACACTGCTGATGGATGGTCAACCTGTGATGAGGTCCACCCTGGTTTGACAACCTGCAAAGCACCAGCGCTTTGGTGGTTGGAAACCCACCCGTGCTTGCTGCCTTCCCAAATGGGCCATCCCAACCCTCCACACTCAAACAGCCTTGGATAGATCCTGCCAGTGCCGGGATGGAGGTCTCTTTAGTGACCTCATGTGTTTTCTTCTCGCAGGTCTTGAACGACATTTTCTCCCAAGGGTACCAGGACACGGCCCTTTTCCTGTACAGGAACAGTAAGTGTCACCCCAAGACCTGAAGGAAAGCCCCGAAGCGGGATGCACACGCAGACGTCAGCCCTTTCTTTCCGTGTCTCACAGATGCCTTTGGCTTTAACTACTTCGACGGCAATTTCCGCTTCGCCAGCATGTGTGGGAAGAACGACTTTCCACAATCCAAGTGGACGTGCGCTGGCCTATGCAAAAGGGTACCACAGTGCCTGACTCCGTGCTTCCTGCCAGGTAGAGGATTTGGGGCACTGACCTTGGGTGTTGGGGGTGGCTGGGGCCGCTGAGGGCTGCTGCAGTCTTTGAGAGGAGCAGTATAGCATCTAAGACATTATTGAGTTGTTATAGTAAATATTTCTAGATCTGCAGTCGCTGTTTGCGAAGAGGCTTTGTAAGAACAACTCAAGCTGGATTCTGGCTCAGGCTTCAGTATCTACAGGCTGAGCTGCAGCAAGAGTGGCTAGACAAGAGGAATTATTGCCTTTATTGGGTTATTTCTAATTACCGGTCTTTCTTTACTTCTGTGTTGTCATTCATGGGTACAGGCTTGGCTCTATGGAGGAAGGAGCAGCTGACTGGACTGCAGGATCCACTGTCGAGGGTCCTGTTGCAGCCATACAGGCTGCCGGCTTTTGTCAGGAAAGGGTAAGAACACCCTGACAGAGGCATCGAAGCTCAGTGTGACACAGAACCCAGTCGTTGTGCCTTCGGCAGCGGCGAGACAGCTGAAGGGACACGGTGCAAGATTAGCGCGAGGCGTCCCTGCGAGCCCAGCGTCGGGGTGTGCCGTGGGCTGTAGTTAAACATCCTTCAGATGGCAGCGCCATGGGAAACACACGGGGCAGCCTCTGGGGCAGTGTGGGCTGGCAGCGGGTCCCTCCTTTTCTACAGACCAGGGCAAGCAGATGCACACCTACTACATAAACAGGCTCAGTGGCCTCCCCTTCCTCTGCAGAAGGATTTGGTATTCCCTGAAGACAAGATCTCAGGGAGAGTGGGTATGGCTAGCAGGAACACCATAGGATTGCTCGGTCATGAAAAAGAATATTACAGTGTACGTTCACCATTAGCACCCTCCCCCTTTTGCTGCTTTTACCCGTCACTCAAATCTGCCTGCTTATTTTGGTTTTGCAGGCTGAAGAAGCTGTGGGGGCTGCTGGAAGGTATCAGCTCCACAGTAAAACGGTTCCAGAAGCTCCTCCAAACCATGATGCCTGGCTTGCCTAAAAGAACAAGGAGGTGAGGGGCTCAGGGGATGCAAACCCTCCGTGGAGGCAGGGCAGGGTGCAGAGCAGGGAAATCCTGGGTCACTGATGCTGAGCGTGGCTAAAAATTCCAAATCTGGGGTGTCCCACATTAAAAGCAGCTAATTTTTGTCCCCATGATACTATTTATTGACATCTGAAAGAAGCTGGGAGCTACCTTAGTGCTGCTTCCCTACAGCAACACATTCATGCTCCAGAGCATTTATCCGCCAGGTCAATTTATCCATTGATCCTAGCAGGCATCAGGCACATTCACCAAGATCCTGAGAGGTGTTCTGGCACTAAACTCTCAAGGATTCAAGGCATTTAACTTGTTACAGCACAAGCTGTTTATTCGAATAAACGGCTTATTTAATTGCACAAAGGGAAATGGTACAGAGGGAAGTTTCATCCAAAGTGCCCTGGAGACTGCCAGCATGAGTGTGGGGAACAGCTGAGGGCTGCATTGATGTAACCAGATTCAAAGCTAGCTGTGAGTGCTCAGTAAAAGATGAATGTAATATGTTCTGCTATCTCTGGCTGAAATCAACGACCTGGGAATATTTTCTCTGCAATGAGCTTGCTAAAAGAAACCTGGATGCTTATTTGCTTTGGAGCCATGAAAACCTGCTCCTGTCTTCCTTCCATCCTGGATGGAATTACAGCTCTCAACCCCTGCAGCCAAAGCTGGGCTGCCCAAAACAAAGTCGTCAACTACGTTCCTGCCACAGATCAGAGCGGAGAGGGCACAGGGACACCCACAGCTCCCCGGGCAGGAGCAGGGCCAGTCAGCCCATCCTACTGCAGCTCCTACTGCACTTCTGCTTCCCCTCCCCAGGCAGCCAGCCCCACTTCTGCACCAGCCCTTCTACCAGGCCTCCTAGCAAGCACCACCACTTCCAGGCAGGATATAACCATTTCGGTCAGCCTCAGGCAGTTACACTGTCCCTATTCAAACGGGAATTAGAATCCCCCAAAGAAAATTATCGTATGAGAATGTGACATCCAAATCCACTAAATTGGTCTGCAAATCTCAGTCACAAACACGAGCAGAGTTTGAACGACCCAGTGCATCCCACCCGCCCCTACGTGGCACAGTGCTTGGTCACAAAAACGTAGGAAAGCTTTTGAGAACTTTAACAAAAAACAGCCTACAAGGAACACCCGAACCAAAATGGTCACAGCTACTCCAAAGCTGCAGAGATGTGCTAAGATAGAAGCATTTAATGACTCATCACTCAACTCAGCTGGCTTTTGCTTTATTACTGCCCCATCTTTTCAAGCAAGCGCACCTGGTGCTGTCTCTGCATGAGCTTGGAGCTACGGCAAAGGGAGGATTTGCCAGAGGCAACGGATAGGGGCAGAGTTTGGCATCTCTTTGAATCACCTTGTGCAGGAGCTTGTTTCACCCCTGCGGAAGCAAGCTGGGAAACCCAGCTGCACCCAGTACAAACCAGCTGCAATAGATCCTGTCTTCAGCCTGAAACGCCTCCTTTAAAGGTGGCTCATGGGAATCAGCTGGGTCTGTGGGGGACAGGATGGGGGTTGTGGCCCTGCCTGTGCTGGTGACATTGCTGCCACAGTGCTCTCTCCAGTGCAGGCGTTTGTCTGCAGGTTGGGTTGCAAGTTGCTCTTTATCTCTTTAAAACATGAACTGGGGCTAAAGGCAGCAGCGGGGGGAAAATGCTCTTCTGGGGCTGGCATGGCCCTAAAGGGAGTAAAACCGTATCTGTCAGTCTGACAGACACTTCTGGCAGTTCTTGTGAGGCAAACTGGACTCAAACACCCGGTCGGGCCTGCTTCCCTCCTCCTCTTGCCTAGAGGGTACTAGGAAAGCAGGTTTTGATATCCTTAAACTACCGCTCTTGTACCACTGTCCTGGTGCTTGCCCTGGTCTGCATCGAACGCAGCAGAGACATGAAGCCTGAGGTGGCTGGGACGAGAGGCTGGAGACAACCCAGCTCAGCAGAGGCTGAAGCGAGATCCCACTGCAGATCCAGCGGGAAGGGGAGTCCTGGGGTCTGATCCATGTGACCGAGCCGAAGGAACACACACACGTGTCCGGCCCTGCCTGCGTCTCTGGCTGTTGGCTGCAGGCGCTTTATGCCAGGCTCTGCTTCTCGTCTAGATACTAACGAGGGGGCAAACTGTTGTGCAGCTGTCCTGGTGGGCACATGGATAAAGAGGCAAATCCTAGTGGCTAACCTGCTAATCCAGCCTGAGCCCTGCTGGTGTGCAGGCTCCACCGCAGCAGGAGCCCTTTGGAGAGACTCTGACTTACTCAGGAACACAGGCGCAAGTTGTCCCCAGGTTTATACCCTTCCTTATGTGGTAACATCAATGATATGATAGTGTGGTGCAGATAAACAGTAAAACAGCCTTTTCCTGGCCTAGATCATCAGGGCTTTTCCTTCCCAGAACTGAAAAATGGGATGTGCTTCCCCTCTGGAGACTAAAAGCCCTGACTTACCTCTTGGTTGCAATCTGGCCTAACAAATGAGTCTTGATTCCTTCCGCAGGTGACCTTAGCTTGGTGAAAAATGTTGCAGCCCAGCTGCAAACCAGAGACCAAGACTCCTGATAGCCCAGAGCCTGCCCAGCCTTCAAAGAAATCTGACTCCTACTACGTTGCTTTCAAAAGCCCCATGCAGTTCAGACTGATGAAGCCTTTAAAAAAGCAAGCCTGGAAGCAAACTGTACAGCCTAATGCTGTGTCCTGCTTTTCTATAGTGGGTCTCTTCCCACAGGTAGCGTTGTCTTGTTTTCAATGGAAATGTCTTCTTTGCTTTCCTTTCATGTTTTTCAAGCTTTTATTTTTAGATCTGGAATGGTAACGGTCCTGTTCTTTCCCCTCTACAATCCTCATTTGGTGTGGTCTTCCTAGATACAGCAGAACAAGATTTGGGTCTTTTTTTAACTCTTTATTTAATTTACGCGGCAACATTTTAAACCATCATCATTTTGGAAAAGCTGTGCAATTTTTCCTAAGCTGACAAATTCTGAAATGCTGAAAGACTCAAAGAAAATAAATAATAAAATTGAAAGAAACGTTGCACTCTAGCACACACTTCTTTGTATTCCGCTAGTAACAATAAGACAAACTGGAAGCTGAAATGCTGAGGGTTCACTGGTTTTCCATGACAAAACTGAAATGGAAGAGGGCATTATTTTGCCTAGGATTGCAGAAAACTCGAAGTTTTGGCTTTAAACCTGCCTCATGTTGCTTAGAAATGACACAGGTGGAGGTTTACCTGCAGCGCTAATAAGCTTCTCTGCAGTATTCACACGTGGCTGCACACCAGAATTACTAAGTAGAAATTTTAATTTGCCTGGCACAGCAAACCCAGCTCTAACCAGTGAGACATTGCTCCTTCCCTCACCCTGAATGAAACGGTGTGTGGGCAGAGCCTGTGGTTCCCTTGCAAGGTGAGCAAGTGTCTTTCTTCATAGAAAGAGCCACTTCTCCAAAGAGCCCTTCTGACCTAAGTCCTCAAATCTCACCCACAACAAGTTTTTTTTCACCACTAACCACTGACCCAAGAGGGGACTCCTCCCATTCCTGATGTTCTCACCCACTGGAGCCAGCAGAAACCCAGCCAGCCTGTTTTGGCAGTGAGAGCCCTGGGCAAGTGTCCCTCAGCGAATGGGAACTGACGGGGTAAAGGAAGTGCTGGTCCTCTGCCCTGCTGACGATGGAGAAGGTGGTGTGGGGCTTCCTCTTGCACTTCGCCTGCTGCCTGGATGGTCCCTGGATTCTCTTCGGTGACACCCTCAGGGGCTGTGACTCTGGAGCAAAGTACTCTTGTTTGTGGCTTCCAGTGCACGGTCCCTTCACCTTTCTGAAGTGATGCATCGGACAATGAAAGCATAAACTCCTCATCAGGTAATGCGTTATTTCAAAAGGAGAAAGGAGTGGGAAAAAAAAACCCCAAACATTGCAAACCTGTTTACACAGCCCTGCTCCTTTTGAAAGACACCAGGGTTCGAAAGACCTGACCCTGCTCGTTTGTCTCTTGTTTCTTTATCCCAGTTTTGGGGACAAAGCTAAGCTTGGCCTTGAGCAAACTGACCATCCAAGGCGGGCGAGTTTGAAGGACCACTTCACGTAGACAAATGAAACAATGGACCCCATGTGCATTCACAAAATGACTGACAATACAGGGAAATACCCAAAATAGGATGTTCCTCCTACGGCATTAAAATGAACCAGCAGCCTAGTCAGGACACAGCACGACCCAGCAGCCTAGTCAGGACACAGCAGGGAACAGGCTGACAGATGCCAAGAGGTTCTCTAGACTCCCCAAGGTGGCATATTTCAGCATCGAGCTGACGCCAGACCGAACCGTTTCTTTCACAGATCTTCTGCAATGACAACTCTGTGACCTCAGGGCTGCAATGTTCTGGGAACCCAGTGGTGTTCCCAACCTACATACGGTTTCTGATGTGCAAGGCATTTCAAGAGAAAGACTTTGAGGAATTCCTTTCTGTGGGACAATGAATCACCTCTGTGCTTTGAATCAGATACGCAGCTCGTCAGGCTTCAGGCCCTGGCACATGCCTCCACAAACACACTGAATGCGCAGCAGATGAGCTGGTGCTGCTGTGCCTCGTGGGATCGACCTAGCTGTGAGCTGCAGGTGCGTTGCTTCCCACACAGACCACTGGATGTCCAGAAATACCTCCTGCAACTCAGGAAAAACCACGTTCCCAATGTTTTTTCACTCAGCCGTGTATAACACAAATTCATTCCCCTTCGACAGCAGCGTCTGGCTACTCGACATGCATCACCCTGGGTGAGGAAGCTTTTAGCTAGGCGGGATGTTCAGGGCAAGAGGCAGAGGTCAGGAAGGGCTCAGCTCACCCAAGCTGTGTGCTGAGTCACCTCCCCAAATTTCCTAATCCAGTTATACTTGTAGCAGTGCCCTACACTGATCTAAAAGCCTCATGACAGTTGGAAGATCCCTGGCAGGGACAAACCCTGTGCAGGACCAGGAA